ACTCCAAAAGAGACGCCTAGCCCAGCCGCCCAGCTGTGGGCAGGAGAGCAGGGGGGTCCTGCCAGCCCCCTGGCACCTGGGCTGCGGGGCACAGCCCCAAACGTTTGCAAGGAGGCAAAGCCCTGGGCAAGTAAAGGGCCTGGCTGAAGTGGTTTGGGGACCGAGGAGGGGTTGGCTCTCCTTTGGGGGGGGGGAGTCTCCTTGCTGGCTGGGAACTCTGGGAGTTGAAGTCCAGGCCTCTTCCAGCGGGCACCTTTGAGAGAAGCTGAGTTGGGCTGCAGAGCAATAGACAGAAAAGTCCTGGGATGATGGGACAGCCAGGAGTCTTCCTCACGGAGCACGTTTTCCCCTTCAGTCATTAGCAGCTTCCTGAAGCCCCCCCCCTCCTCCCCCATCACAAGGGGGGGGGCTCATTTGATGAATGAGATCATGAACTCACCTGTGCCTTTCTTCTCTCTCTCTCCCTCCCTCTTCATTCCTTCCTTCTCTCCCTCTGTCAATCCCTCCCTGCTTCCTTGCCTCCTTTCCTTCCTCTTTCCCTCCATCAATCTCCTCCTTCCTCCCTTCTTCCCTCCTTCCCTCAATCCCTCCTTCCCTCCCTCTTCCCTCTGACACTCCCTTCCTTACGTCTTCCCTAAATCTCTCCCTGCTTCATTGCCTCCTTTCCTTCCTTCTTCCTCTTTGTCCATCAATCCTTTCCCTCCTTCTTTCCATCTTTCCTCTTTCCTCAATCCCTTTTCCTTTCTCCCTCCTTCCCTCCCTCAATCCCTCCTTGCTTCCTTGCCTTCTTTCCTTCCTTCTTCCATCCCTCTCTCCCTCTTCCCCTCCATCAATCCCTTCCTTCCTCCCTTCTTCCCTCCTTCCCTCCCTCTTCCCTCTGACAATCCCTTCCTTACGTCTTCCCTAAATCTCTCCCTGCTTCATTGCCTCCTTTCCTTCCTTCTTCCTCTTTCCCTCTATCCATCAATCCCTTCCCTCCTTCTTTCCATCTTCCCTCTTTCCTCAATCCCTTTTCCTCTCTCCCTCCTTCCTTCCCCCATTCCTTCCTTGCTTCCTTGCCTTCCTTCCTTCCTTCTTCCATCCCTCTCTCCCTCTTCCCCTCCATCAATCCCTTCCTTCCTCCCTTCTTCCCTCTTTCCCCTCCCTCCCTACTGTAGGACCTTGCCCCATCGAGACCTCCGGGACCCGCTCTCCTTTCCCTCTCTCTTGCTCTCTGGAGGGCTCGGCCTGGAGTTCGGCCGTGGAGCAGCAGGACGGGCTGACCCTCTCCGTCTCCATCTCCTCCCCTCCGGACGCCCGCATCGGCCGATACCGCCTGGTCCTGGACGCCTCCACCCAGTTCCAGGGCTCCAGCTTCAACCTGGGCGAGTTTGTCCTGCTCTTCAACCCCTGGTGCCCAGGTAGGTCTTCTCTTCAGCCAGGGAAGGGACCAGAGAGGTCTTCTTCTGCCACGCTGGATCTGGGGAGACCCGTCTCAGCAGGGTCTGCCCAGATTTCTCCAACCGGATCATCCCTGCTTGGATGAGGTTCTCCTGGGGTTAGGGTTCAACCGTCGTAAATAGGAGTCAGTTGCCAAGCGTCTGAATTCTGATCATGTGACCATGTGGACCCTGCAAGGGTTGTAAATGTGAAAAAGGATCGTAAGTTCTTTTTCCAGTGCTGTTATAACGTTGGTCACTAAACAAATGATTATAGGTCAAGGACTTCCTTCCTCCCTCCCCCCTCCCTTTCTTCCATCTTTCTTTTATATCCTTCCTTCCTTCTTCCTTCCTTCTTTTATATTTTTCTTTCCTTCCTCCCTCCCTTTTTTGTATATTTCCTTCCTTCCGTCTTTCTTTTATATTTTTCCTTCCTTCTTTCCTTCCCTCCTCCCTCCCTACATCCCTTCCTTTCTTCCCTCTTTTTTTATATCCTTTCCTCCTACCTTTTTTCCTTCCTTCTTTTATATTTTCCTTTCCTTCATCCCTCCCTTTTTTGTATATTTCCTTCCTTTCGTCTTTCTTTTATATTTTTCCTTGCTTCTTTCCTTCCCTCCTCTCTCCCTACAACCCTTCCTTTCTTCCCTCTTTTTTATATCCTTTCCTCCTACCTTTTTTCCTTCCTTCTTTTATATTTTCCTTTCCTTCATCCCTCCCTTTTTTGTATATTTCCTTCCTTCCGTCTTTCTTTTATATTTTCCTTCCTTCTTTCCTTCCCTCCTCCCTCCCTACATCCCTTCCTTTCTTCCCTCTTTTTTATATCCTTTTCTCCTACCTTTTTCCCTTCCTTCTTTTATATTTTTCTTTCCTTCCTTCCTTCTTTCTTTCTTTGATATTTTACTTTTCTTCCTTCCCTCCTTCCTTTTTCACTTCCTTCTTTTATATTTTTCTTTCCTTCTTTCCATCCTTCTCTTCTTCCCTTCTTCTTTCCTGTACCGAGCCTGTAATCTCTGGCCTGCAAAGCAAGTTCCTCGCCATCAGTGGCCGAGCACGTGGGCCTGCTTGGGCTCCCATAGAGAAGCTCCACCATGTCATTTGGTTTCTTCTGCTCTAGAAAGTAGCCCCAGAAACCCCACTAATCGTTGTGTACTTTGGAAACCGTGGTTAGAAAAACAGCGTCTTAAAACCCAGCCCTTGGGAACAGAAGGTGCCATGTGCTAATCCCACTTTGGCAGTTCCAAGCGAAGGCATCTCGCATAAGCAAATAGATGTTCCCAGAAGCCAGAAAGCATTTGCAAAGCCAGAGGAAAAACATGCAGTAGCTGTGTTGATGCCATCTGTTATTACCTTTATTTGTCTTACCTGTCTTTGATGGGAAGACAAGTCCCAAGAGCCGCATCCAAAAAACACACTTTCCCTGAAAGTTCAGCTAATCCAGAGCACAGAAGAACATCGCATAACAGTTGGAGGTCTTCTAATCCAACCCCAAAGGGCTTTTGAACATGGTGTCATCTTCCTGTCCATAATTAGCCACGGAGTAAGACGGCGAAGAGGGACACGGGTGATATTAACCCTCCTTCTCCTGGGTCACTCAAACACCCCTCTCTGTGAAGCTCCCATGTTTCTTGAAGACCCCAAAGATGTTGGCCAAGGAACTTCCCAGAGTCTTGGGGATTGGAGGTCCATTGTGCTTCAATCTCCAGACGAGGATGGTCTTCAGAAGTCCCGAGAGGATGGCTCATCTCCTCGGGAGCATCTCTCGGGCAGAGAAGAGGAACATGGCCCTACGGGATAAACCATATGATGGAGGGGACTGGAGGGGGGGGGCTGTCTAATCTAACAAAGAGGAGGTCTGAGGGCGATATGACAGTTGTCTTCCACTAATTGAGGAGCTGTCACGAAGAAGAGGGGCTCAAGGTCCTTTCCAACTCTCTTATTCTGCTGTGGCCATAATATTGGACTCGGGTCTGACATGTTGTTTGATGTTGATGTGATTGATGTTTTGGTCATCATGAGATAAAAACAGATGTGGAGACTCTGGAAAGAGTGCAGAGAAGAGCAGCAAAGAGGATTAGGGGACTGGAGGTTAAAACATACGAAGAACGGTTGCAGGAACTGGGTATGTCTAGTTTAATAGAAATAAGGACCAG